GCCGAAGAGGAGTGATGCGTGGTCGCAGCCCATTCCTTTATCAATTAATTGTTGACTGTCTCACAGTTAAAAGATTTGGCATCGAACTGGAGTGGCAAACCCGCAGGTTGAGTTTGGGATCACGAAAAGAAAAATATACAAGGACCTTACAACGACATATACCGAAGACTGCAGACGGAAGATCCGGACTGAAACAGACATATAACGAATCTCTCACATTCTGTCTCTTGAGTAAGTCAGTGGCGGAATTCACGAAAGTCACATACGGATATACAAGCCCCAGAATCGCTGCCAAAGGTCATCAGCTTGACCCCACGAACCTGCTCGCAGGAAAGCTAGTCGAAGTATCGACAGCCCTCACCGACCACAGTAATACCAGTTAATGGATCGTCAGAACTCAACCCCTTGGCCATCATGTGACTTCAGCGTCATAGCCCCCGCCACAACTTTATGACACTAATGAGTAAACTGTTTATATTGTCCAACCGAAAAAATTATATTACATACATCCGGACTGGCGTTGCAAGATCATAAAGATGAGCTGTTAAAAGTCCACTCCATATGCTCGTACGGGAACCAACTTTCATTATTATCATTTACGCAAAAGTGTAAATTAACCTTCTTCAGCAGGGCGGCCACGTAGTTAGGCCTCTAGATCACCTCCTAACTAGACATCTCTTCTACGGCACTATTGCTGTAGGTACTCACAGACGAGGGCTGCATAACAACAGCATAATTCATCCTGAAGACTTCCATTAAGTGTTTCCAAAGTCGAAAAAAACTAAACCTTGGCTGCCAAATTTGGGAACGCAATCTTAAACACCGAAGCCAAAAGATATCTCGAGAAAGTGATTTCCAAACTACCAGCAACCCCCTCTGTGGACCTTCTGAAAAGCGCCCCTGAGGCACTGGAATGGATCTGTTGAACGTCTTCTCCGTCACACTAAATGTGGCTACACTGGGCCGCTGAGATGGAAGCCCACTAGACCAGTAGCCAGACTCTTTTAATTGGTGTCGCTTCTAAACTTGCCTGTGAAGTCAGCACTGACCCAAGTAGACACATCCATTTAAACCACAACGCAAGCAACATGGACCACAGGCGGGCAGTGCGGGAGGTGTGTGCTTGAACTGCAGCTGATTAAAATGTCTAGACAACCTTTGTAACATCGGCATTCGCATGGATGTTTAAGGAATATTTAGTTGAAGGAATACCAAACATCCCATAGAAGCGGAAAGAGTAACCCGATTTCACTGTAGTGTACAACAGAAGTCGGCGTCTAGGAAATACACCTCTACTAAAGACTTTATCACATTGTCGATCTCGAAATCAGTGTGAGAAGACTGGACTCGCAAATTGTCGGAAAATGCAGTTTATTAAAAGGTACATCCATGAGTTCATAGAACGATTTGGGGCATAGTAATCCGCCCCAAAAGAAGAGGAGCAATATGATTCATAAAAATGCGTACATTGGAAGATTACAAAAGTATATAAGGCGTTAAAAACCGGTGTTTGTCGCTTAACACAGATTACAGTGAGCATAGGTGGTCTACGGACAAATAGTATCCGACGTCAACGAAGTTTATCAAAATCCACAGCCCTAAAGATAGCAAGAAAATTTGTCTTTACATAATTCAAAAATAATCAAATTTATTATAGCAACTTTGAAGTATCAACATTCTTTAAACTTATGGACAATCTAAAATTATCATGATCATAATTTAAGTCTGCAAAGTTGAGCGATTCAGACCTTTGTTTCGCGAAAAACATTGTTTAGTTACATCGAATAATTATTTCCTTTTCAGTATTTCAGCAAGTATCAGGTACCTCATGAGATGATTGGCAAACTTTCTTTCAAAAGACATATTTTGGCAACTCAACGATAAGTATCTTTAACATACAAAACGGAAAA